CTGAGGAAACTTCACTTTAAAAAATAAAATGAGAGCGAGAGAGAAACAAACCTTCACACTCAAAAACACCATTTAAAATACAGGTTTCTGAGTACAGCTTATAACTCAATTAATAATTTACATGATTAATATTGCCTATAAAATCAGGAACATTCTGCAAACAGGTCAAATTTTTCTTGCGTTTATTCATTACTTGCAATTATTGAATTAAGGTTTATTTGTGTGCTAATTGTTTATTCCATGACTTGCAATTTGAGCTGCATTGTTCAGTTATGACTGTTCACATAAGTCACAGTGCATTGGTTCTGTTCATTGTTTGGATGAGTGCAATTCTTTATTATAATCATCAGGTTTCTGGCATGACTGTTTTATACAAACAATTTAAAGTTTGCTTTCCAGGTCAATTTCAGCTTAAAAATCCACTTTCCACTGATGGTTGTGCTCCTATAACAATCACAAAATGAGCTTGCATAAAGGGAGCACAAGCAAAGCCAAAGTAAATGTTCTAAAAACCAATATTTGCTGGAAAATATTTATCTAGCTCTACTTCCAAGTCTTTGACATAGTTCTCCTTACTGGATTTAATGTTGCAGGCTTGTTGAAACCTTGATTTAAAACCATTTTGAAGCCTCGCCCTAGTACTTCAGTGGGAGCAGAATAGGCCCCTTTGCTATAATGTTTTGCTTGTCAGAAAACGTCAAGCCATAGCCATTGATTGAACCTCGCTATTTAGTTTAATTACTTTCTTCATTTCCATCTCTTTGAGCAACTCCCGGGCTGGTGGAGCCCCTGTCATTTTCAGAATGTCCTTATTGTTTCAGGGCAGTGTTGTTGCAGCCACATTAGTCCCTTGAAAGCTTGGCTCTCTCACCAACAGAAGTTAGTCCAATAAAAGATATTACCTCACCTCCATCATCTGCCCCTATTGTTTCAGCTAATATAAACCCTCACTCTTGGTAAAACAGCAACCAGTAAAGGCCCGAATCCTGCCAATACTTATGCATGGGCTTAACTGAACTGGAAGTACAGTTAAGAACATACACAAGAGTTTTCAGGAAAAGGGCCAGAGTTTTTGCAAATTCAGTTTCAGATGCAATTACTCTGGAGTTATTTAAGTAATTTTTTTTAAAAGTCTTGGTACTCAGTACAAGCGGGTGTCTCATTCATCTACAATTGCTTCAGAGCACAGATTATTTTTAGGAATATTTTTACTTGTTGCAGTTTGTAATAACATCTTGAAAACCTCAAGACAATCTGTTATGCATCTCTTTCCTTTAGTATTGTGGGGTCATCCAGGCGTACTAGCCTTTTATTTTTAAAACCCCCCTAATGCTATGAAGCATTTGCTTTAAAACTAAACAAAACCACCTCCAACAAATTTCACAAACTTTGCAGCCATGGAACAAAAGACATAGGGTAAATTTGGGGGCTACAAACCTAGAAGTTTTACTGCACCTTTAACTTTCAATTCAAGCTAATGGATTTGTTATATAAATTCTTTCAATATTACTGGAACTTCCTGATGATCAAGGGTAGCAAAAGGCCATGCAGTATATAGCCAAATTTAAAATTCTTGCAATACATTGATTCTAGGGTTGCCAGTTTTGATTGGATGTATTCCTGGAGATTTCACCACATAACAATCTTTAATTAAAGATTAATCTTTCATTCCTGGAGACTCCAGGCCAATCCTGGAGAGTTGGCAACCCTAACTGCTTCTTTGTAAATGACACATAACTGTATTTCTTAAGAACGTTAATACTGATGCTTTAACGTATTACTAAAGATCTTAAATCTGAAAGAGACTATATTGATGATGCCCAATCATATTCCAAGGGTACTGCAAAAAAAAAAAAAAAGACCCACAGCCAGCGCGTCCCAAAGCCTGGGTCAGCTGACTCATGCTACAAGGCTACAAATGGCAGCATCGATGTTCAACTCTGAGGGGAGCTGGGACTCAGACCAGGTTCCAGCCCGAGCATCTACACTGCTATTTTTAGACCTGTAGCATGAGCCCTGTGAGTCTGAGTCAATTGACCTGGGCTCTGAGACTTGCTTCCGTGGGTCCTTTATTTTTATTTATTGCCACGTAGACATATCCTAGGCCATACTATAAAAAACCCAGCAGAAAATAAGAATGCTCCAGTTTGAAGTCAGAAAAGAATAATCCACTGATCTATAGCTAGTATTCTTTGAATGTACTATATATATAGCACATATTTTATTCTGAGGATCTCACGGCTTTACTTTGTAGGTAAATCTCAAAATACCCTTGTGAGTTATATAAATGTTGTTATGCAAATCTGACTATTTTGTCTCAGGCGTTCATGTGCTATTATAATGCTGGGTGTAATAGTTGAAATTATCTCATTTATTACACTAATATTCCTTTATTTGTACTCCTGTAAGAAAATAGGAATTGCCAGGCTGGATCAGACTTGAGGTCCAATTCTGGGCCAGTGTCCTGTCTCTGGCAGGGGCCAGTACCAGTTGCTTCAGAGGAAAGTGCACGAAACCCTGCTGTTTATATCACATCTAGAACAGTTTTCTCTAGTAGCTGTTTTCAGTATATTGAAGTTTAAGCAATGTTGGATCCACATATTATTTTAACCAACCAAAAAGTCCCTCCACGTGGACTTGTTTCCTTGTAAATCACACCAATCCCGCTTTCATTCACCATGAAATCTTCTCTCTGCATTGTATGCCTCTGTACATAATAAATCTCTGTTGAAATGGCTTCTGTGGAGAGGGGATCCCCAAGGTAAAATTGCTTCCTGGTTTAGGTACCAAAGTTTGGGGGCAAATTGGACATAAGGAGAAGGAATGAAATAAGAAGCTTAAACTTTAATTCCTGAGCTGTTTGTCACTGAGATCTCCGGCTGGGTGCTGGTGGACTTCTGACAGCATGAACAAATAAATATCCTGTATGATCAGTTCAGAAATCCCTTTCTGGGGTTTCTCAGGAAAATCTAATTCCTTAGCCCAATAAATAAAGGTTAACCACCCCAACTCAATACCACTAAGAATAAGTTAGTCTGTAATAATCTAACGCTTCACAAATTCACTTTATAAAGAATAAAGGGTCTGTTCCTCCAACGGAAGAAAAAGAGAGGAATATCAGAAGGAGCTAGAAGCCTATGTCAGAATTGGCTCCACACTAAAGATTTTGCAGTATATTTACCAGAAATCTGAAAGTCTCACAAAGAGGAATTAACTTTCTATCCCCCTAGAGCAGTGGCACTCGGAATGGCCTGCTGCCTATACACATGTAGTGATCTCAAAAGTAATAATTTTGACTGCCAAGAGATTTGTTTCCCCAAGCCATGTAATGTATAATAATTTTCAACCACCAGGTGGCTCCTCACAGATGTTTTCGCTAGTGTTCCCCCCCCCCCCCCCCCTTGAGCTCTTAGCCATCAGTGGAATACAATGTCCTGCACACAGGTGTTCACACTGTCCTTACCACACAGAAGAATTCTAATACCATCAGGATTAGACAGTGGAAGGAAGCTACCTCTACATTAAAACACTGGAGACCCATAAAAGTGACGTTTTCAAATTCAAAGGATCAAATGTGTTATTACCGGAGGGGTGGGGGGGACGGGACACCACATAAACAATGAAGACTGCTATTGTTGATGGAAACTTCCATTCCCCCCAAGGAAGAAAAAAAAAAAGGAGGGGGTGACCATTTGAAATAAGGGTCAGATGGGTTTTCTAGTGGATGGAACCTTCCAAGGAGCGATTTAATTTCCACAAGTTTAACAGCTAAAGGATACCCTGCTGCATTATCTAATGAAAGTCCAGCTGAGATCCGTGCGTGCCATATAAACACAGGGCTGAGCCTGAGAATGGGAAAGATGTGCGAGATAATGAAGACATGGGAGTCATTATGTTTTTGGCAAGGGGTTCTTCATTCATCAAACGCAGTGAATGAAAATATTAAATACTGCAAGCCAGGTTAATGAGCTGTTCCGTTATGATCGTCTCAAGATGTGAGAGCCTCGCACAGGGTACCCTCTCAGCCAGGCTCAGTAGAAACCTGATCATTCAAACCAGAAAACCACTTCCCCCTCTGAAAACACGCTGTACACATCAGGGTTTTTTTCAAAGAGTCATCTTCGGCAATGCAGCTAGCTCTGTAGTTCGCCCGGATATTTTTAACGTATATGTTGCATTTTTAAAAGGATGAGCACCAATAATTTTTAGCGAGGGTTTTCTGTTAGCCTCTCTCTACCCCCCTCCCTTCAAGCATTAACCACCTCTGACAAATCTAACCAGATCTGCCTTTCAAACCAGAACGTTCAATAGCAGTTTCATACAATCATCTGTTGGTAACACAGCAAGCAAAGAAACGGCCACCAGTTCAGCTATTCACACACAAAATCCCCTCCGAAACCATGCATTATTTTGCAGATCGAGGTCTCTTTTCATATGCACCGTAGAAGCTAATTACATGTCACCTCGCTCCATTTGCATTTACTCGATTTTCCACATAAAACTGGATTAGGATAAAAAAAATGATTTAAAATGGACAGTTACCACCAACATTATATCACCTGATAATGCCGAATAAGGCAATGGCTGTATTCTGCCAGTCGCACCATACAGAATAAAAGGCTATTTGCATATTTGCTAACCCTTTTGAATGAATGCATCTGCAGTTGACCTTTAACAATAGACTCTGAGATAGCACAATCTGTGGGATCAGATTGGAGAGAAGCGGTGACTATTTTACCATTATAATCTCTGCGATCTCAAAAATATCCTCCCACGGAACCTCCTCACAGCTGGAGATAAACATTCTTTTGTTTCAAATAAGCATTTTAAACGCAGGTTCAACCACATGCAACCTCGAGAGGGATCAGGATCAGGATCAGCACGGGGTCTAAAAATCCAGTGTGCATTTCCCCCTTCCTCCGGCTATGCATCGCCTACCACTACCAGGAGGGTAAATGCGACAGGGATGCTCCATCTCCCTTGCTGTTTCTCTCTCTTACCTTCCCTGGCTTTCAGCAAGACAGTATTGGCAACAATATTTTCCAGCTCCATTGACAGTATCAGTCAGCGAAGGTAGCGGCACTGCAGCAGGATGTCAATTGCTGTAGGTGCTGCTGGTTCTCTGTAACGACTATCAACCTCCTTCCTCTAGTGCATTATTCCTCCTTATTTCCCCCTCCTGGAGTTTCCTTTAAGAAAGTCACTGCTGGCTTTCCCCTCGCTAATATTTTCTCCCCCTCTCTATTGCTCTGCTACTCCATTCTCCTCCCCCCCCGGCTCTCTCTGATGGTTTAATGTTTCAGATGCTGTTGCCTCCCTCGCTCCCTCCCTCCCCGGGGGTGTGGTACTATGAAGCTGGTTTCGCAGCATTGCGCAGACGCCATCCTCAACAGCTGGTTCATTCCTCAGCGCTACGGGGCCGGGAATGCTGGGATTTGTAGGCTGAGCGCCTGCTCTTGGTTTTGACTTGCACCTTGAGAAGGAGACCTCCATTATGTAAACCCAGAGGACGGGGAGTTGCCAGGGCCGTACAGGGGCTAGGACACATTACATCTAACTGTTTTGGGGGGATACAAATGCAGCAGATCATCTGCATAACATAGGCAAGCAACCAACAGCCCCAGCAATTGAGGGGGTGGGGGGTATGTTTAATCCCCTGCAAAGTATTTCAGAGTTCCTGGAAGTAGGACACTAGTTGTTGCTCGTTGCTTTTCTGGTGGGTGGAAATGAGCGACAGAGGAAAGCGGTGGGGAAATCACCATTAACAGGAGACTTCAATCACCCAAGTTCCATGAAATGCTCACATTACTTTGAAAACACTGAAGCTTGGTGGAAAGGCTAGGACGCAGCTATGCCCCACGCGTCGTGCAAAAACGCTTGCACGCTCTCTGGGTTTGCACGAAGTTGTGAATTTACTACCGACGCCTGCGCAATGGAGACAAAGCAAGGCAGTCGTCTATTAGTCTTCTGTGTTTTCTTTATGGTATGCTGCGGGGGAGGTGGGATGGGGAGAAAGATGCTTTGTGCACCATATACTGTTAACGATTGTTTCCAGAGACTCTTCTTGAGTTGCATAAACCGAGCCGCTCAGCTTGGTTTCCTGTAGGTCTCACTTCTTCAGAGGTTACGGTCCCACGAGAAACGCGATTCAAACGGGTAGGGGGCAGGCGCTTCTCTGTTCTCAGTAGTGATTTATAACACTACTTTGTCAGCAGCAGCTGGGCTAGCTCCGCGGAGTTAATCAGCCACAGCCCCACTGCAGAGTTCAGCTTGTACTGGGGCGCCATCCAGTGGCTCGTGGTAGGCAGTGTCTAATGGAGGTACAGTCATCAGGACACGAAGCGAAATCCTGTCTCCATTACAAGCAATGGGAGTTTTGCCATTGAGTTTATGAAGGCCAAGATTTCACCCCCTCCGCTTAAAAAAGTCATAAGGCCTTATGAAGCCTCAGGTACTGAGCCCCTACAGCTCCCAGCGACTTGAACTGAAAGTAAGTGTGCTCAGCAACTGCAAAAGTCAGGCCACTGTTTTTAAAACAAAAGTGTCCTTACCTGTATTACGAACAACTGCATTACTTACTTTATAGGACATATGCTTACTGTGTGCCTGTTATAGCTAATGAAAACAGGCTGATCAGTTTCACTTTTGGATTTGGGTAGTTTCATTTCAAGTTGGTTAGATGCTCATCTTTCAGCACAGCCACAGAATAGTTAGTTTGCAAACTAGGGAATGTTTATCCAAACCCAAACATCTTTAAAAACAAACAAAGCTTCCTAACCAGCAGTGGCTTTTTAAATGTTGTTGACATCTTAAAATTGCAGGTTAGCAAGCATAAGGAGATCTTGTCAGTTTGAATGCACTTTTTTCCTCCTTATACAGCCATCCCTAAATAACTCCACTAACTTCAGTGGGAACCTTGCTTTCAGCTATGTTCACGTAAGACCATTAATTTCAGGGGGGTCATACATGTGTAACTGAAAGGAACGTTTAGCCCAGGGGAAAATTTTGAAGACTAGACAACTTGAATCCTACCTCTATTCCTGTATTTGAATGTCTGCTATATAGAACAGGTGCCATCTATTAGCATGATTCTGATCTTATTTACACCTGTGTGAATCGAGTAACTCCACAGAAACCAAGGTAATGACAGCCACATAAACAAGATTAGGACCAGACTCATTACATTCGATGAGCCCCCTTCTTATCTGCATTAATTAAATCGTTGTGAAGCAACCCAGATTAAAGTGCTCAGCATCTTCTTGCAACTATGATATAATCATGTCTTCCTATCTTTGTGTGCATGCTGATTATACCCCAAGCTAAAGTTATATTCCTTTCTGACAGCCAGGCAAAACTGTCTGAGAAAAATGATACTCAGACCTCCTACTACATTGTGATTTCTGAACATAGGGAAATGGCATTTTTTAATCACAATATTAAATGCTTTTTTGCACCTGATGTCAGCAGGGGCTGCTACTACACTGTCTCCCAAGTCTTCTTAACATGTGAGCAAGTGTTCAGTTTGTGGGGAGACATGCTATGTTTCGGTTAGTTATTTTTTGTGTCAGAGATGCAAGGTTCTGGAGCTAGAGTTGCTTCCTGGGAAGCAGGCATTGGTGTTGGGCTAAGACTCCTGAAAGAGATTACCCCATATGCTGTTTGACCACCTCTGTCCGAGGTCTGATGTTTATGTGTAAGTAAAAGACACTTAGACTATAACCAAACTCTACATCAAATTTTCTCCATAACTGGGAAGATGATATATAAGACCCCAAACATCTTCTACCCCTCAACAGAGGGATGATGGCGAGGTCAGAACAGGACATTGGTGTCAGAAAACAGGGCAACTATTTTAAATAACATTTTTCATATTCAAACAAAAGAAATACGAGTCAAAACATTTTCTTTTCTTACCTCATGGTGCAGCTTCTTTCTTGAATTCATCCTATTCACCCTCCCTGCAACAAGATACTTGAGCAGAAGCAAGTTTACAATAAGCAGTCACTTGGAAGTAGGTCTTCCATAAGCTGAAGTGGTCATGTAAGCCCTGATCTTGCCAGATGATGTACAGTCCTATATCCACACATCAGTGAGGTGGGGGCAGGGGTTCACTTGTGAGGAACAGCTTGCAGGATTAGTGCCTTGGGCTCCCCCCCTGAAGTGCTCACTGCAGCCCGCAACATGCCAAACAACCTTAACTTCCATTAATACTAATAGAAGGCATGTGCACTCAGCACTGCCCAGGAGCAGGCTCTTAACCAATAGGAAATGATTTTTTTCCTAGGAACTTGGGGCCTGCTCAGGCATCCATTGAAGTCAATGGAAATTTCACTCTTGCTTGTTGCAGGAGGCGCATAGACTGAACTTTTAGGACCAGATTTTCAAAATAGCTCAGCACCAACCATCAAACCCTTATTTAGGTGCCTAAATGAAAAGCAAGCTCTTTTGAAAACCTGGCCCCAGTTTGTGGATGCTGAGCACTTAAAAACAGACCTACATGTACCTGTTGAATCAAATATTGGTTTTGCCACTATATACCCAAGGACGTTTCATTCACATATGGTAGAAGAATCTAAAGCTGCTCTAGGGGATGGAGATGGATTGAGGGCTACCTGCTTTGTGAATGTGTATTTTTATTGTACTTCAGGGGGGAAAACACTGCAGCTTTCAGCACATGTGCAACAGATGCACCATGTTCTGAAGTCCTATCGCCTGTATCGTTTGCCCACGCTTTGAGCTTGTTGGGGAAGTGAATGCTGAGCTCATCTTCACATTCCTGGTCATTGAAATGCATGTCTTCACATACAGTAATGATGCTTAGCCCACCTATTGCTGTTAAAAATAATGGGGGTTTTTTTTTTTTGAATGATTAAAAACGATGCCTAGGGTGATGGTTTTTAGTCATTGTACAAGAAATAAAATGGAGACAACCCCTTCTAATTAAAACATTTTTAAATAATTCAGCTCAGTGCAATGCTTTGGTGCTTGATAAGAATTACATTCATAACTTTAAAAAAAAAGTGTCCTGTAGGCTTTCCCCTCCATCCTCTTTCCTACATCAGTCTACTAAGCTCCACTTCCACCATCAAATCCCCAGTGGGGCTCTGCACGGGCACAAGGAAGTCTGTCCTTCAGATCTATCTCCACAGGCCACAGTGGAAGTGCAAGAGTGAGCCTGCAGCAATCTAATGGCAGGAAGAGGCCTCTGGCTTTGTGGATGGGCCCCTGCATCTGTGCAGAGCTTGTTACTATACTGGGGCCTTACATTGTAAGCTCTTGTAGCAGAAACTTTCTTCATCTTGGCGCCTTCTCAGCAAAGTCATGGACAATTAAATTACAAACAATAGTAGCAAAGGGCACCCAGAAATGGATATCTTCCATCCTGTGTTAAATGGACCATGTGCAGGGAGGGGGGGGTAGTTCAGTTTCCCTGTTTTCTACTAAGGTGATGAAAGTGCTCACACAAAACAGGGCAGTGTTAACGTATAATCACACTTGGAGCTGGGGGTACGATTCCGGGCTCAAAGGAGACTAGCTCACATTGAGCTAGTGTGCTAAAAACAGCACAAGCAGCAGGATAGGCTAGCTGCCCTGAATACATACCATCTGAGACCCTAGGCATTCACTCAAGGCACCTAGCTTGCACCACCATGTCTACACTTTAATGTTAGCATACCAGCTGGATGAGTACTAGTTGTCTCCTCAAGCTGGGAATCATACCCCAGCTCAGTGTAGACATACCTTCAAGCTCACAGGCAATTGCATACTGCATGCAGTCATCCTGCACTGATGGACTATGCCACATTCTACAGCTATATTTCGAAAGTATACTTCTCACCCTCCCTCCTGGGTACGGAAAGATCTCCTTGCAGAGAGACCAGGTGGGTAAACTTTAGTAATATCTTTTATTGGACCAGGTTCTGTTGGTGAGATACAAGTTTCAAGCCACACAGACCTGAAGACCTCTCAAAAGTTTCTCTCTATCACCAGCAGAAGCTGGTCCAATAAAAGATATTGCCTCACCCAGCTGGTCTCTCTAATATCCTGGGATCAAAACAGCCATAATACTGCAATCCTTGCAGAGAGACAAACACAAAGCACCTTTCTATACTTCACCTCTACAGAGCTGGGGGGAGGAGGGAAGAGGTTCTTTTTAAAAGGTTACCATGTGTTTTTCAACTTACCCAATCATCC